TCAGGAATGAATGTACAAATCCAACACAGATGATCACTCCTCTATGAAAATAAGGATCAAAGGTGCTTGTGCAAAGTGGGGGCACTTCTTAAACATTTATGCCACTTTGATTGTTGCTTTTTCGAAGGGGCTGTTATTTGAGAACATAACTTGCAAATTAAATGTAATTTATTCCAGTACTTACTGTTAAAACATAACTTGCAAATTAAATGTAATTTATTCCAGTACTTACTGTTAAAACAAAGCAGTTAAGAAGTATTGGACCTGAATACACAACAGTAATGAACAAACCAGCAGAATCAAAATACTGCTCCTTTGCAAAGGTCCTATATAAAAAAATAACACATTAAAATAATGGTAATTTGTGAATCTCTTATTTTTTGACAGTTTAGGACATGCATTTTATTTTCTTGAATAAATAATGAAAAGATCAAATAAATATCTCATTTGTTTTCATTTTTTGGGATTCTTGTGCCCAGCTCTCCTTTTAATTTGTCAATTGACCTATTTGTCTCAGTTTCTCCTCACCAACTGAAATTTCACAGAAATGGACTCACACAATCCAACAATGATTAAAAAGAAAAAACAACACAATCCAAAAATGATTAAAAAGGAAAAATACAACAATCCCTAAACAAAAAAAATTCATCGTTTTTAAGAGGACAAAAAAGTTACTTGATTTCTTCTCTTCTATCAAAAAGATAACTAAATTAGCTCTTAGGCATCAGAGTTTATAACAAACTGTAATGAAGACCAAAAGATTCAAGTTGATATTCCTTGATAATCTGGAATAGTTGGCATATGTTATTGGAATTCTTTCTTCAACTATTCATCAGAATAAAGTGCTCACCTCCAGTGTTTTGCTCCTATGGTATTTATTTGTTCTGATGCAAATGCCAGTCCCACTGAGGACAACAATATACAAAAAGATCAACTCTGTGTAACTCAGTCCGCAATTTTTCATTTTCTTTTGGGTAAAGGGCAACAAATGGAATTAGTTCATACTTACGTAGCAGCAAGAACAAGACGATTTGAAAGTTTGTATACTTTCTCGTACAAATAATAGATAGGAATGTTGCCGTGTGGAAAACGATCAAACCTATTAACCAATGTTCAGTCCAGTCTACCTAAGAAGTATTAATAATATTATAAAATTAATCTAGAAAACCGCATTCATAACTATCATAATTTCTTCGAGACCCTTACGACAAAATAAAATAGCTTAAGAAATAGTAATTTTCTCACAGCTTTGACGAATTCCCACAAATTATCAATTTGTTCGGTGGGGATCCATTTATCACCATGTAGAGAAAAATGTTGTCTCATCGCTTCTAGTTCTTGATTTGCGTCGATTTACCAGAGTTACAAAGAACACGATCTGCAAGGCGTTACGTACAAAAAGGGTAAGACTAGGACCGAGCTATCATCCGCTGGCTTTATGATGAGCCAGCAGGCAACAAATGGCGGATTCACGGCGGATTCTCGGCGGATTCACTGTTGAATATGCAGTTGTCAATTAAATTTGCATATCAAAGGGAGAGTCAAAGAGCACAGGTGATCATGAATAATATATTTTATCAAAACAGCTGATTCACCTGTCCTTGTACTTAAGCTAAAACATTTTATTCATGTAATCTATGGCAACTAGCGAATGGCAATGAGAGAAGTGTGACCTCAATATTCATTCATGAATATTCTAAACTTTGGTTTGTCTAGTGATCGTTTGTAAAACAAGTGTTTTCGGAAGTTAATCTCCTGCTGCAGTGACAATTCTTATAGCAATATTGTTGCCACTAACGCTTTTCTGTTGCCAAGTAATTTATTACTATCTCTGTTGTGTTTCCAAGGAACGGTGATAGAGCGAAATTAATTTCATCGATGGTGGAAATTTACAGATCAAAAAGTTTTCAAGCGATCAAACAATCCATTCTGTTTTTGTATAGAAAAGGAACAATTTAACTTCATCTCGATGTCGCGTGTGTAATCGAATTTAAAACTTGTGATTGATCGGTACGTATTGTGAAATGAAGCCTCTGGAGAGTTAAAAGTTTTCGGTTGAAACGATGTTTTTGCGAATTATTCAAGAGTCCGGAGTGTGGCTATTCATTGCGCTTCCACTCGTCTTTATTGTGGTCAATAGCAGTGAGTTGTTGGGTAAGTTTGTTTGTCATTTTTACAGCGATGTCAAAATTGATTGCTTTCTATCAACAAGTTCCTGTTTCCTTGCTGACTTGTGTCAAAACAAATCTGTTTTTTTCCGGATTTTCAACCATTTTCTCGAAAAGAAAATTCTAGATTAAGGCTTTAATGTGAAATTTGTTCACATCATAGCCATTTTTTGTTAGATTACCAGATAAATTGTAAATTTAAGAAAGAATTACAGATATCAGTTCCTGCATTTGAAATTTAAATATAAAGCTAACAGTGAAGATCTCTAAGTAAGTCTTCTTGTTTTCATCAGTTAGCACATACTAATCATCATGTGGTACCTAATTTTTTTATTGTACAGAAGTCCTTTTCATGTTATGTACTTCTAAAAGTACTATTTTGAATTTCAATTCAGTGTAACCTCAATGCAATTTTGGTGAGACTTTCACTCCCAAGATCTCACAAAAAATTCTCCTTACTGTCTGCCATACAATTCTAATGATGTAAGTTTGGAGAATTTGGTATTGGATCAACAGATGATCCCTTATTTTCTTTCTCCTTTTTCTCAGTACTTGTCTGCTTGATATTGTATTGATATTGTGAGAAGTTCTGTCTTGGTCACCATGGGAGTTAAAGGGATATTTGACATATTTCATTCCCTATATCTGTTGATCACAATCTAATTCTGAGACTAATTTCAATGGAAAGCATTCACATTGCATTAATTTAACTTACAATATATGAATTTTGACTCTTGAAGGTGACAGTTGAATATAATAAAGCTTATAATATCAATTGAAAAAATAAACAAATGAACAAACAAACAAATCACACCACTCGAGATACTTGGTTGGGTTTGTTGGTTATCTTTATTTATACACGATATGTATGAAAGCTAAAAGCTTGTGGGGTCGTCTACAATAAAATACTACTTAATTAAAATCAAATACAGCTAAACATTAAATAGAATTAAAGCAAATTAAAGCGTACTGAATGCCATAAGTGCAACATTGAAACAATCAATTTACAATTAGATGTATACAAAATCTTCAAGTTCAAAACAAGCGGTTGATGCTGATACTACATTGAATTTAACGGCGTTAAAAGTTCTGAAGTTTTGAGTTTTTTCGGCAAGTTCATGACCGCTTGCATCAACAAGAACAGTATATTAAGAAGTCAGGGTATTCCAAAGCACAGAGCCTCTATTTGCAACAGAGTCTTAAAACGTGTGTTAAAACGTGGCACCGTTACTGAATCGCATGCTGCCTAGACAAGCACTTCTATTGAAAATTTAAAAAATTCTTGTTTGAAGCACTGTGATTGAGATATTTCTGAGAGCTAGTAATTATTACACTCTGTTATAATCAAGGTGAAAGGATTTGACAGTAAAGATAATTAGGGAGCCTAAAGATAATTAGACAGTAAAGATAATTAAAGTTTTTAATGCATTTCTTTCAATAACTGCAAGATCTCACAGTTAGCCACTTAAACTGACCCCTCTCCCTAAATACGTACTTTGAAAGAAACTTTGGTATCCCAACTGCAGTAACTTGAACCCACAAATTTCAAATCCAGACGTAAGTTTTCTACAATTCCTGGTTACTTGTCATTGAGCCCCTTTTACTACCAAATACCTTAATTTGAATTGACCTTATGCAACCCAATCATTTCTTTTGATTTTAACTCTCAGAATTAGTACTACATCAGAAATTGTCTCCTAGGTGATATTTTACTTAATTCTCATTGAGATACAATGAATACATGAAGTTCATATATTTTGTTGAACT